GCCCTTCGGGCCCTATGCATTCAACCCATCTTGTGCTTTGTTTTACACGAGATAGGGTTCCAATTCCCAGGAACTGAACATCTACCTCTTGAAGAGGCCAATTCGGATGCCAAGATTCTGGGGTAATGATACTTACATCCGCACCTGTGTCTAATAAGCCTTCAATAAAAGTGCCATTTATACAGACTCTTAGCTTTGGTCTTTGATCATTAATAGAAGTCTGCCAAAATATACGTTTACTCTGTCCTATTGGGTTTTTTGACTCATCCTCCACACGTAATTCTTCATTTAGACCAGTATTACTTTTTACAGCAGAAATTGGAGCTTTTAATTTTCTTGGTGAGGCACGTTCTCCACTGTGACTGGGAATGACTGGGCTACTGTTGGCTTGGGGGCCTGCGAGACGCCCCCCAAGGAGTTTCCCGATGATATCGGATTGCCCCGTCTGTCTGTTGTTGACCTACATTCGTTGGACCAATGCCTGCCTTTACCGCATCTCCTACATATACCTGAAGGCCGAGGTCTCCTATTTTTGTCATTCCCAGAAGAGATATTATTCCTAGAAATTCTTTGCCTGCAATTCCTTTGCAAATGTCCTAATTTACCACAATTAAAACACCTGGCAGTTTGATGTCTCCTCATTGCTTTGGAAATCGCTTCTCCTACCCAAGATTCATCATTATAGCTAAACGTCTCGACATTCACCGTATGCTGAATCCATTCATCCATAGGTGCTGATCTAGACTTTAAAGGCCCAATTATCTTTTTGCATTCTATGTTTGCATTCTCAAAAGCTAGAGATTCAAGAAGTATTCATCTAGCTTCTGGGTCTGTTACCCCTATGTCCAGAGCCTTAATTAATCTTTGCAAAAAGTCAATAAAGGGTTCTCTCTGTCCCTGCCTAATTCTGGTATATGATTCAACCCTTTTTGCTGGATCTTGTATCCTATTCCAAGCATTTAAAGCTGCTTGGTGACATAGACACAGTACTTCATCGTCATAAAGAGCTTGGACCTGTGGATCAGCATATTCTCCTGCACCAAGAATTTGATCTTGGGAAACCTCAATACCTTTTGCTCTTCCTTGCTGTTCCATATGTTTGGATTCTTCTCTGAAATAAATTCCAAACATCAAGGAAGGTCCATTATCTAAAACTGCAGACACTAACTGATGGAAATCATGGGGAGTAGCTCTAGCATTAGAAGCCCAAGTCCTTATCATTTCCTTAACATATGCATTGTGCAAGCCAAAATTAACAACAGCTTGCTTAATTTCTTTCAGATCATTCATTGCTATTGGTGTCCATCTAGCTTCTCTGACTCCCTTTGAGCCTTTAGAAGTTGATGCTTTTTCAGAATTAAGTATAGGGTATGTCGCTAGAACCCTGGGTAAGCCAGTTCTAATAGCTGGTGGAGGCCTTGTATCCTGTCCTTGTGCCTCCTTACTCTGTTCACCAGCTGCAATCATTTCTTCAATCATTTCAAGTCTTTTTATTATTGTCTTTATTATTGTCTCTCTTAAATCCTGAATCTCCTGACCTGTATATATTTCCAGTGATTTCACTGAGGTATCAATTTTTTGGTCCCCATTCTGCACCTGTGATTCCAAAGCTTTAATTTTTTCCTTCAAAGATAACATGTCCTCCTTAAACTTTTCTTGTATATCATGTAGATTCCCATCTTGGAGGTACATTCTGTCTGTTACCTTATCAAAACTTTGTGATAAAGTCTGAACGTCAAATTCAACAGCCTGAACCCTTTCAGGTAACTTTCTAATACCCTTGGATATGGAATCAATTTTGTCTGTCATAGTATCCACTTGTTCAGATAACCTCTGATTTTCAATAATTTTAATCCTGTCAATTAGTTGTTCATTATTAGTTCGTAAAGATTCTATCATTCTTAGGAGTGCCATATTCTTCTGTTCATTATTAGTACGTAAAGATTCAATCGTTCTTAGTAGTGCCATATTCTTCCTTAATGATAGAATATGGAAAAGAAAACTGAAGGCTAGTAACAAGCAAATTAAGGTATCCCCATAATCATATAAACCTTGTATGATGTAATTCATTGTATTAGTAAATATAAATTTACTAATCCATTGTATTAGTGAAAACAAAGCAGTAAAATTTGCGTTAGAAACAAAAACTGCAATATTACCTATTATCCAGCAGGTGGTGCTGTTGCAGAGTCGCGGTGAAAACATGGTCCTGTTTCAGTGCCTTAGTAGATGTTAAAAACTGGAAAATGCAAGTTTCTCAACAAAATAAATCTAATTAAATCAATTCCTGAGACGGAATAAGTCACCCTGAGGGGTTGCAGCTTTCAGCAACCACGTGCTCTGGTTTGTGCCACTTAAGAGCTGTACTTGCAAGGGAGATTTAAAAATGACTCAGAAAAGAGCAAACCACGCGGCCAGAGACTACGCGGGCCTGTGGAGTTTAAATCCACGTGGGGAGTCCAAGGCAGCTGGGGCTGAGGAAGGGGAGGGCTCCCGCCAAGCCGAACTAGAGCCCGCCAAGCCCGCGGCCGCCAAGCTGAACTTGCACCCGCCAAGCCCGCAGCCGCCAAGCCGAACTTGGGGCCGCCAAGCCGAACTCGCGGCTGCGAGTGGGGAAAGGAGAGGTTCTAAAACCAAACGTTGGGCGCCAAAATGAAGGCGTAAGTCACAAACAATGCCACACCAATTCGGGGTTATGATTATTAGGGTGGTATTTATTTAAAGGGGAAAAAACTTACAGATCACTGTCCCAGGCAACAGCCCTCTATGCAACCAGGAAAGGAGTCTAGTCGCAGGCGGAGCAGGAAGTGAAGAGAGAGCAAAGAGGGAAGTGGCCGCTTTTTTAAAGGGAGAGAAACCACGCCCCAGTGGGCTGGTACCTCAGCGGTGATAGGCTGGAGGAGTGGGAGGACCTCCCGCAACACCCAGTGTCTTTCTCTTCCTGCTGCCTGAGGATCCAGATGTCGGTTCTCTATTGCCATGTCTGCCTGCATGTTGCCATGATGGCAATAAGCTAAACCTCTGAACCTGTCAGCCAGCCCCAATTAAATGTTTTCCTTTATAAGAGTAGCTGTAGTCATGGAGTCTCTGCACAGCAATAGAAACCCTAATGGAGATACTTACCTTCTACTTCCATCTCCCCAATGCTGGGATTACAGGTGTGTGCCGCCATGGCAGCTTTGCTTGACCAATCTTGCAGTCATACCTGGACTTTGAAACAGGAGCCATGGAGGAAAGGATACAAGAAAGCTGAGGTCATTATGATGAGGCCAGCAGTTACTTCTGATCCACAGTCCTACCTCAGATCCCCCCACACTGAACCTTCAGCTGCCCACTTGCATCCTGTTCCCAGGTTCTTTCCACCTAGCTCTTATCCTCCCAGTAGATCCCTGTCTATGCAGCTAGGCAGGATGGCTCTATATCATAGCCTTCAAAGACAAGTATGCCTGCCTTGTGTCTTATGGGTGGGGGAACGTGACAAGGAGTCATCACTGTGACCTTTTGTTCCCCACACAGATATGAGAAAGATGGCCAAAGTTCAACATTTCTCCTTAGTAGGAGGCTGCTTCCCATGGCAAGTCCAGCAGAACTCTATGTGGAATGCTCTCTTTGAAAACAGAATAAGGTCTAACATCACAGACAGAAAGGGACACAGGGACCTGTGTTAGCAGAGCAAACCAGAATATCCACTCCTCCCACTTAAGCCCAGAATGTCTTTCAGTGTCCTCTGAGAACAAAGATCATAATGTCTTCAGGTTTGGGGTTTCCTGGGGATTAATTAATACAAGTTAGCAAAGTGCTTTGATGTTGGAAGAAAATGTTGGGTAAGTGCTAAGCTTTTTGCCAAAAGACATAGAAGGAGTCAGCATTGGATGGGAAAAAAAATCACAGTTTAGGAGTTCCTGGAATCAAGCCCAGTGCTGAGTTTATACCTGGTGCCATAAACAGTCGTTCAAAGAAGAGACTGGTGGAATGAGACTGACTTGAGCCTAATTAGTTCGATTCTGTCCTTGCTTCTGTTTCTCCTGCTGGAAATAATTTGGGAACTAGTCTTGCCTGTTGCTGATGTATATATGCAAGTGGAGGCCAGAGGTCAACTTCAAGTGTCATTCCTTTAGAATTATCTACCTTGTCTTTTGAGCTGGGGTCTCTCACTGGGACCTAGAACTCAACAATTCAGCTAGGCCGGCAAGCTCCGGGAATCCGCCTGTCTCCCCCTTCCCCAGATGATACTACTACCTCAGCTGGCTTTTCATAACTGGATGCTGGAGATTGTTTTTGGGTTCTCGCGGTTTCACAGCAAACACTTTACCAATTAAGTGCACTCTCTAGTCCCATAAATGCTCTGTGTAATTTACAAATTAAAAAGTCTATAAAGCCATAGGGAAAGCGGCACTGTCTTAGAAAACTGTCACGAAGAACTCACATTAATATGTGTGAAGTACCTGGCCAGTGGCTGGCTTACAGTAAACCCTCAACGTGTGCTAACCAAAATGACTAGAAGGAACTCTCAAGGAATCGAGGCTGAGGCTGCCATTCGACACACACATTAATCAGCAGGACGGGCAGATAGCAGAGGCTATAAAATAAACCTCAGAACCCCTCACCTTCAGATGGTTTAGCATTGAGTGGGAAAGCTACTGAGTAAACAGAAACTTACCAAACAAAGCAAGAAAAGAGCAGCGAGCTCACGTAAGGCCTGGGCCCTGACCTTGGGCTGAAGGAGTATGGGGTGAAGGGTGATCCGAGCTACAGGGAAAAATGAAGTTTGAGGGTGCAAGGTCTTCCAGGACTTCATAAGCCCATCTCCCTGATGTCAGGACCCACATAGTTATTAAGGTGCAGGGAGGTGGGATCAACGTAGGCAGATCTGTGGGTGACAAAAGAATGGGTGTGGATGGTCAAGGGTGGCTACATTCATGTGGTTGGGAGCTGTTTAAAAAAAATGGGACTCTTAACTGAACATTTTCTCTCTCCATTTCTTCTCTTTTACAAAATAGTTCAACAGCTAGAAAGACATCTAGTTTTCCAGATCCCCGGAGTCCCACTGTCTACACCACATGGGCATTACCCACCTCCTCTGTGTCCTCCCAGGGTAGCTTTTCAGAAGGTGATCCCCGGCAAAACCGACCCTTCAAATCCGTCTTTGTGCCCACTGCCGTAGTTAATCCTGCGGGGAGCACAGCCAGCCCAGGGACTCCGGGACAAGGGTCTCATCGGAAAGGGCGGAACAGCATGAGAAAGAGTAAGTGGTGGCAGAAAGGTACGTGCCTAGAGCCAAACAGAGGGGATTCCGATTGGGGCACACTGGAGGGTTCTCATAAGAACAACTGGTTTTGAGCTGAGCCTCTGCAAAGGATAGTTCCCAAGGGAAGAGTGCCTTTATTGAGTGTAGCCTAGGCCTACTGAAGACCCCTTCCATCTGGTCCATTCATACCTACACGGTGAATAACGGGGTGGCAGCATGTAATTGGATTGTAGCCAAGGGGGGACCCACACAAAGGCTGACATTGCTGGTTCAGTGCTTCTCAGACTGTGTTCTGGAGACACCCCTTGAGCCGGCAGGGCCTGGGAGGAGAAGACAAGACTCTAGAGACAGTACGTAGAACCCGTTTTCTACTATATTGTTTATGTAACCCATGCAGAGAAGTTCTTTTTTTAAAGGTTATGTAAAAGGAAGACTCTCATCTTACTTTGGCCCACGAGGTCCAGATTTTTCCAGATTGATAGACACCTTCCAGTCACACAGTGTGCGCCGTCCCATGGCTTTCTTTTTTCCCTCTATAATATCCATACTGAGCACACGGCAGTACGTGCACATCTATCATCAACACCATGCTCTTATTAATTATCAACATAGTAAACTTCTGCATGAGGTTTCATTTGCAGGGACTCAGGAAAGATCCTGAAACCTCATTGTACAAAGCAAGAAAGGATCCCTTTTAGTCACAATCCCAGTATGGGACATACACTTTGTTCTACATCCCCAGCTTAAAACTGGCCCTGCCGTCTCTCGGGCCATCTCACCAAATGATTAAAGCATGAGATGCAGGACAGAGGAATAGCACAAGGGACACAGTATGCTGCAAGGGGAAGTCCCCAAGAACAAAAGAAAGCAAGTGTCTTCATTTCTCCGTGTCCCCATCTTTTCCATCTAATAACTGGCATAGCCTCTAACTGTGCCCACCCGTATCTCCTGTTTCTGGCTTCAGCCCCCTCTTTCCTGCCCCCCACCAATTATTCACCCTAACAGCCTTGTACAAGTTCCTGCCCTCTTTATTTTCCTCATTTGTAAAATGGAAACAATAATACTCAGCTCATCACCCTCCGTGTGTTATACCATGTTGGCACAGTATCCCTATCAGATTTAGCTACTAGGCTAACCATACAGTGTCCACATATAACAATCTCTTGAGAACATGGCTTTTAAAAAAAGTTATTTTCTTGATAAAGTCACGTTAATTATTAGTATAAAAATCACTTTGCTACTACTACAACTAAACAGATTATCTTCGGTCCATCTACATCCTGAGCTTGTTTAGGGTTGAGATGTTCCCTCAGTCCAGACCACTTAGCCATGCAAAGAATTGGATTCCACTTACGATAGCTCACATATTTTTAATACACTACCTCGTTAGGGCTGTGTAACTCTTGATTGACCTGGAACTTTGACTGTTTGTGTTGTATACACACGTAATAAGAGAGTATTAGGTCTCTTGAAAACTGGAAACTGACCAGATAACCAGATGGGCAAAAAAAAGCCAAATTTCCCCACACACACACATCTATAGGAGTCAAGGATGTGTCTGTCTGGTATTATTTTGACTTCCCTAGTTGTAGAAGCTTTCCTTTATCCCATTTTCCAAGGTGAAGTAGGTCGAGCTATCAGTCTCTCCAAAGGCCTATGCCGCTAATCAGTGGAAAAACTAATGTGGAAATGGAAAGGTCAGACTCGGCAAATCACAACATGCTTGCAGCAGCTGAGAATACACCTGAGCTCATTGTCCATGAAAACTTCCTGCTTGGTGAAGGTTCACAACCACAACACAAAGTGTGGCTTGGCTCAGGCCCTCCATGCTAGACATGGATGACTTTGTTTCAAACGTGTGTCCAAACTGGGCAATAGTGGTACACACCTTAAATCCCAGCACTTGGGAGGTACAGGAAGGCAGATTTCTGTGAGTTCAAGGCCAGCCTCTTCTACAGAGTGAGTTCCAAGACAACAAGGGCTATGCAGAGAAACCCTGTGTCAGGAAAAAAATGTGTCCAAGAACTGTCAGGAAAGACCATCATCGATAATATATGGTTCTTCAAATGTTTGGAGACCCTTTGAGAATGACCCACAATGCTTTGCACAGTTTTTTCTCCAAAGGCAAGGAGCCTCCCATTTCTTTGGTCACCTATAGAACTTACGCCCAAGGAATGGGACCTTCTTCTTAGAGCGTCTTGGGGAGGACTTGGTTTCCATTACCTGAGGAAGGACTGCCTACATGAAGCACACACACACACACAGTCAGACTTTTGTGTTGCTAGGCACACTGCGCTGTCCTTCACATAATAGTGACAGCCAGCAAGCATCTGTGACTTCAGGCGCTGCTTGGCAGGTTGGATATCCTGTAAGAAGCAATCCACACTCCATGGTGTGTTTGGGAACCTTTGCTGAGCATCAGGAAGTAAACAAGGAGGCCTTCTCAGTGGCTGCCCCACCCCTGCACTTAAAGTTTCTATTAACAATTTTTTCAGCACACAGGGATGACACTAGCCTCCTCTCCCTCGTCAGCCCTCCTGCTCTGTTGTCTGCTCACTTTGTGCTTCTCACTTTCTGCTTACTCTTTGGCCTGTCTGCCTCTGTGTTTGCTTTTCACTGTGAAACTTTGTGTGTCTGTTTCCCTAGCCATCCTAAAGGGCTAGAGGAAGAGAAAAGGGGCAGAGGGGACATAATTTGAAGCAGCATTCCTTCAGCTACCTCACACAGCATTCAACTAGACATTTACCTGCTGCCAGCGACAGCAAATAGCACTAAAAATAGAGTAGGTCACCTTTGAAAGACCCCAGGAGAGTGCGAGCAGTCATATTAGAAAAGCCTTACCAATCTATTCTGAGATATCGGACACAGTGCATACCCAGCCCGCACGCAATCCTCTGTCAGCCATCCTATTGCTGATACTGCTCTGTCATCCTGCAGATGGATCCTTGCAGAGACCAGTGCAGTCAGGGATCCCCACTTTCATGGTGGGATCCCTCAGGCGCAGCCCCACCATGGTGATCCGGCCTCACAAGTTCCAGTTCTGTCAGCCGCAGGGAATGACCTCTTCCCCAGCACCCATGATGGTAGAGATGGGGTCTAAACCCATTTCTACTGGGGAGCCTGCCCTGACCTGCAGCTGCAGAGGTGGCAAGACCAGGATCCACTCAGCGGCCAGTTCCCTCATCATGGAAGGCAAAGAGATACCCATCAAGAGTGAGCCACCGCCCAAGCCGCCTGCCTCCGCCCCACCCTCGATCCTAGTGAAACCAGAAAATTCAAAAAACGGCACCGAAAAGGTAGGAATGGAGTATACTTGGGAGCCTGACTCTTTAGCCTCCCAGCTTTGCACACCATGGACATGGCCAACTACACTGGCAGCCTCCAATAAAATCTTTACACACACAACACAGTCCCACCCCCCCTCACACCAAGCACGCCTTCTCCTTCATAAACCTACTCCTCATGTTCCAGAAACTTCCTGGAAAAAAACATGGCTTGATTTGAATCACTGCTCTGGTTAGGTGGCTCTGGCTAAAGCACTTCACCCTTCTGGGCCTTTGTTTATTCATTCATGATTTACTTATTTGCCTCATTCATAGAAATAATAATATAGGGCCTAGAGACATGGCTCGGCAGGTAAAAGGACTTGCAGCTCTTATAGAGGACCAGGATTCAGTTCCTAGAACCCCCATGGTGACTTCACAACCACCCACGACTCCAATTCCATACGTGATGCCTTCTTCTGACCTCGGCAGGGACACACGTGGTGCACATTGAGACATGCAAACAAGACAGACCCATATATATAAAATAAAAACAAATCTAAAAGATGTTAGGTAAATAATAATAATGGCCATCCATGGGCTTGGAGATGACATTGTGTAAGATATGTGCAGTATTTTCACAGGGCTTGATACATAACTTCATCAGATGACAGGAACAACTAAGACAAGGGAGAATTTAAGTGATGCCCAAGTCACATCGAATGGTAATTCTAACAGCTAACTTATTGTGACATCTATGGAATCAACCAGATCTGTTAACATCTGGAGATTTTTGCGCTAGAAGACATGGAGTTTTATAAGGTCCTTGAAGCAAGAGAGATCATGAAAAGGAGAAGGTGACATGAAGGGATCAGGTGATGTTCCTCACTATCCTTCAGTTTACTGAGCATCACTGCACGCACTCACCAATCATCTCCCCACCACCACCCTCACCACCATCCCACCGTTGTCACCCACGCCCTACAAAAACATGGGTGGGATGGAGTTCCCTCCTATTTGCTAAGCTAACTACTGAATATGCTAGCAGACAACCATGCACAGCGCTCCATGTGTGCCGTCTCATTAAACCCCAATAACAACCCTCTGAGGTAGGTATTATTTTCATCCTCATGTAGAATGAGGAAGCAAAAGCTTGGGAGTTAAATAACATTGCCCAAAGCCACGCAGCTGACATCTGTATTCGATACAAAAGCCCAGGTTCTTTCCACTCAGCTTGTACAGAAATGCATTTGGAAAAGTTCATGGTGACTGACAGAAGGGTTGGGAGTGCTTATTCCAACTTCCAATGTTCATGCAATCTAAAGGATCCCAGTTGTCCAATATCCCAAGTCATCAGACACAACCCCCTAACTTCGACGTCCCAAGATCACACTGGAAATGTGAGAATCAGAAAGCAGGGGAAACTTGGAGACAAAAACGAGGTAATTTCATGGAACAAAGAAGTAACTCCCAGGAAGTACCACAGAAAGAACACTTTACTAAGCTGTGGGACAGTAACTAGCTAAAGCAAACACCTATAATTGCCAAGCAAGATACATAACCACCTAGGAGGCATGAGAGAAAGCAAAGGGAGATGGGGCTTCACGTGAAGTGCAGACACGGTCTCATAAAGAGGGAGCAACCCTTCAGCTCAGCCAGGTGTCGCCAGTAGTGATCGGCCCAGAGCTCCAGATCTTAGGCTAGTTCGGATGCTTGCCTTTAGGTTTTACTTTGGTTTTGAGACATATTTTCACTATATAGTTAAAACTGGCCTCAAACCCACAATCCCCCATCCAAATGCCTGTGCTACCACACTTGTCTCTGTTTCTTCCATCTTTTAAAAACACACTTGAAATGCAGCCCTGTATATTGGTCTAGTGGTCTTAATGTACAGAGAAGTCAGTCAACACTTAGAAGCCTAGATGGCAACAGCAGGTGTCCAGGAAACCAGCTCTGGGATGAGTGTTTCTAAGGAGATTATGGGGAACTCGTGGGGATAAACCTTAACAAGCAGAGGGGAGAAGGGAGAGGGGAAAGGTGAACTTATATTTTCCAGAGGGGTCCTTGTGAAGACCACTGCTGACCCAGTTTCTTCCAAACTATTCACCCTAATTCTTAAATCCTTCTGCCTCAAGAACAGCTTTCGCTGGCTGCCTATGAGATGCTACTCCACCATCTCAGCAGCTTATATGCACCTCACAGGGTATATTACACGATGCATAGTAGACACAAATGCTTGCTGAATGAACACCACCTAAATGAGGCGTCTTGAGTGGGGACAACTGTAGAGAAAGGACACATCTTATCCAGGGATTGGGGATAGAATACACATCTCACACCTAGTCCTTTGCTCTTCTTTCTATTTTACAGCAAGTCAAAACCGTAAGATTTCAGAATTACAGCCCTCCTCCTACCAAACACTATGCCTCCCATGCCACCTCTGGAAAACACGAACAGCCAGCCACCTTGAAGGGGTCCCAGCCTGAAGCAGTCCCCTCAGGAGCAGAGATGACCGTCCTATTTGCCCACCGAAGTGGCTGCCACTCGGGACAACAGACAGACCTCCGGAGAAAGTCAGCGTTTGGCAAGACGATGCCCCCAGTATCCACTGCTTCAGCCACACAGACCATACTTACCAGCAAATGATTCCTTGGATGGCTTTTTTTAGACACAGAAAGAGGTGAATTGCATGTAAATACAGTCTGCCTCCACTACAGGCATCCTACTGGTCTTCTAAGGATTAGTCTCCTCGAACACCTGAAGGACTGGGAAGGTGTGAACTGCTGCCCTGAATTGGTTGGCCTCTCCCCATGCACCCTACCAACACCACCCCACCACCCTGAGATAGAGTTTCTCTGTGTAGCCCTGGCTGTCCTGGAACTCACTCTATAGATCAGGCTGGCCTCGAACTCACAGAGATCCACCTGCCTCTGCCTCCCAAGTGCTGGGATTAAAGGCGTGCGCCACCACCACCCAGCATGTTTCTAAACTTAGTGATTGATTCAGCCGAGCCTACGGCTTGAGCCAAGAAATAGGGACAGCGTTGGCACCTGGGCCTTACGCGTGCAGGATTTGGCCTCTCGGCCCGTGCGCTCAACGTAAAACGTCTCCGCATCCTAGGACAACTGCAGTGTGGCAGAGGTGAAATTGTTCTCAGGGCCTCTTTGACCTCATTGCCATCCCACTCTCTCTCCATCACACAGAACAGCCTCTGCCGTCTTCTGGGAAGCCACAGAAACTGAAGGGAGTTACTTCCCGAGTTTACTACGAACAAGGCCAGAGAGAAGGCTGACTACCAAATGCCAAAAGATTATTATGCGCTAAGCTTCTTGGCCTGTTTCTTCCCACATATTTGTACACAGTAGATAAACAGGGGGCATGGAGACGCAGATAAGGGACATGGATGGCATTATAGACTTTTCGTTTTTCCCCTCACAGCAAAATGCGCTTCAAAGCAACCTTGACTGTGCAGCGAGTTTAGATCCATATTCTGCTTGCATTCCAACAATTTTGCTCTCCAAGGTTCCTAACCGTTTGAGGCATTAGGGCAGATGACTTATTTCCCCTAATAGGACAAAGGCGGAGGGCAAGAATGGGTGCTCTTTGGGGAGAGCTGCTACCAAAGGAAGTGGACAGAGAAGGCTTGAGAAGGAAAAGAGAGATTAGAAGGAATAAAGGAAGAATCATGCAGGCGACAGACACAGACGAGAAGGGGCAGGAAGTGGGGAAGAACGAGCTTCTCAGGGAAGAATAGAAAGCAGGTTTGATGGGTGCAATGTTTACACCACTGGCAGAAGAGGGAAGAGGACAGAGTCTGCCATGGAGAAAGGGTCAAAATGAAGTGACTCCTCGTGGATGGACTGGAATGAGCAGGTCCGGCAAGGGAGCTTTGTGAGCAGGGCGGGGGAGCGGGGAAGGCAGCTCTGGGAGTCAGGGTCACGCTCTAAGACAGCCCATTAGTTCTCATTAAATGTAATTGTTGTGACTTAGCGCTCATCACATGCCCATCAACGTGGACACTTTAATGCATAAATGCCTTTTGCTACTAAGGCTGGATGCCACTTAAAATAAAGACAAAAAAGGCAGGTCTAATTAGCCGTTTACCACAGACAGTTCTTGCAGGTCTCGGGATTGCGAATATACATCTTTAACCCGCCCACACACTTGGCAAACTGAATTATCTGTAGGCATTTTTAGACATTAATAGAATAAAGCGAAACCATAATCCTGCCAAGGAATATGGCATCTGTGCCAGAGTTTTGGAGCCGGTGGGGCCCACGGTAGCATGTTGTTCTTGCATTTCTGTGAGATTGGGATTCATGTACACACCATGAAATCAGCACGTTCAACTCAGGACAGCCAACCAGATGGAGCAATACTACAGTCGCAGGGACAGAAACACACTATGATTTTCTAAATGTGGGTACCCGTGCCTCATCTTTACTCCAGAAAATCACTCTCATTAAGTATACCAAGTCACTCTAGACCCAGAGTGGCAAACATGCAGTATAATAAGCCAACTGATTGTTTAGGCTGTTCCCCAGTGGCAACTGGTCCAGTGTGTGGCTATCAAGTAGATGGTTTACAGGGCAACAGAAAAGGATTTCTATGAAATAGAAATGGATATGAAACATGAAATAGAAGGTTTTCTCTTCCTGCCATCTCCCCAGCATAACCTCTCTGAGAAATGAGGATAACTACAAGGATCGCCACCTCCATGGTGCAAGCTTTCCATCCACTCCCAGAGTCAAAGGCCTCCCAAAGCATACCGCAAGAACGTTGCCAGTGCTTGGGTGGAATGGGCTGATATTGCCAAGTAAAAGCTGATTTCATGAACACCTTTTTTGATGAAAATGGAACTTTATTCATGTATCAGCCCTACCATAACATTGAGAAGTATATTCAGACATTTGGTTGTAAGCAAAAGCCTATTGTGTTTCCTCCAGTTATGTGTTTTTATTATTCTCTCATATATTACATCTTAACAACCGTCTCCCCTCCCTCCACACCTCCCAGTCCTCCCTACACACAACTCCCCTCTTCCCAGACCTACTCCTTCTCTGTTTTCCCTCCAAAAAGAGCAGGCCTTCCAGGGATATCAACTGAACACAGTGTAACAAGTTCAAATATGACCAGGCACAAACCCTCATGTCAAAGCTGGATAAGGAAAGGGTCCAGTAGTGGAAAGGGTCCCAAGAGCAGGTAAAAGAGTCAGAGATACCCCCCCACACTCCTATAGGATCCCCGCAAGAACAGTAAGCTATGCAACTAGTGTATATGCAGAGGACCTAGTTCAGACCCATGTAGGCTTCCTGATAGTTGCTTTTGTCTCTGCAAGCCCCATGAGCACTGGTGAGTTGATTCTGTGGACTCTGTTCTTCACAAGTGTCTTTCACTCTTTTATTCCACCAACACCTGTCTGACGTTTACCTCCATGCTGGATACAGCAATGAGAATCATACATTCATCTTCTTGTATACTTACCGTAAAACACTGTAAGGCAACTATAACTGTTCCCTTATAGAGCTGAGGAAATGGAAACTTAGAAATTGGCCACAGACTGGCTGAGGCAAGGATGAGAACCCAAACTATCTGGTGGCAAAGTCCAGCTGGGGACTGTAATGTATAAACCAAAAGACCATTATTCACTCCAGGACAGTGAATGAGTCCCAACTGCTAGAAGGCAACGTGGTGTAATTTTGGCTAAAAATTCAGAAAAGGCCAGCAGGCTCTGCTGGACACAGAGTTTGGGTTTCTGTTTATCATTTTCTGGGCAACTATCCCACTTAATCACACAGACATTCTTTTTCATCAGTAGGGATGATAGTGCCAACCTCACGGGACCACTGTGGAGATTACCTGAGATAAGAAAATAATTTAAGGGGGCTAGAGAGATGGCTCAGCAGTTAAGAGCACTGGCTGCTTTTCCAGAAGACCCAGGTTCAATCCCCAGCACCCACATGGCAGCTCACAACTATCTGTAACTCCAGTTCCAGGGTATCTGACATACATGCAGGCAAAACACCAATACACATAAAATAAAAATAAGTTATTTCTAAAAAGAAAGAAAATAAATGATGCTTAATGAATACCTACAACTGCTAGGTTTGGTTGTTTTTAAGAAAATGGGACTGCTGAACCTGGTGGCATACACCTTTAGTCCTAGCACTTGGAGAGGCAGAGACAAAAGGATCTCTATATGAGTTCAAGACTAGCCTGGTCTACACAGAAAGTTCTAGGCCAACTAAGGCCTAGTGAGACCCTGTCTCAAACAAAAGAAAACAACAAAAAAGACTTTAAAATTCCAGGTCGGAATTTCTAAAGCAAAGGGTCTGTTCAACACAGTGAGGTTAAAAAGAAATCCACACAGCCTTGCCTTAGAGCTCAGAACACAGTCTGAGTCCTGAAGGAAAGGCAAAAGAAAGAGTGAGCAATGGAGAAACGGGCTTCTGAGTAGACAGAAAACTTCGGCAACTGGGCTTAAATGTAGCAGTCAGACCAAGTTCCACTGACAAATCTGCTCCTTAGTAGAACATTCCAGAGAACCAACACTACAATTGAAATTCCTTTCTGAACAGGCTACAACTCCCAGCTAAGAATCAGAGGCCCTGGAAGTACCTTGTTGTTTCAGGTTCAGACCCTGACACCAAAGGGGTTCAGGGTAGGATGTGTTTGGAGGACATGGGAGGACAGCTGAGAGACAGCAGTGGGCCACAGCCATCTGAGGACCATACTGAAAAAAAGCACATCAAGACCCCCCCCCCATCAGAGCTCAACTTCTTCCTTTCTCTCCTGGGTTCACCCTTATTCCCACCCCTCACCCGTCTCCAAGGCAGGGCTCTTGGAGCAGAAGAATTTGAAGCCATGTCGACTTGCTGAGTCCAAACACTGACCCATTGATTCTGAGTCTCAACATCTCTTGAAAAAGTCAGACTGTCCATGCACACCAGGTCTACTGTGTGACAGCAGCCTAAAAGAGCTGGGAAGAATACGGTGGCTTCAACAAAATAGCCACAGCTCTGTCGGCGTGCCAATCCCCCAGGCCACAGATCTGTTGGCATGCCAATCAATCCCCCAGGCCTGCGTCATTCACTCATACAATCCATGCTTGATTTAGGCATACTTCCCCTTTGGGCTCTGTCCTTCAAGTCACAAACCCTTCCAAAGTTAGATCTAATTACTAAAGATTAGTTGCCCAGGGATTCTCAGATCTCCCTAATATAGTGGTCTTAAGAGTCATATTCAGCAGTCTTGAGGTGAAAACAAGGCCCCCAACATGGCTCAGAAGATTCAAAGAAAAAGATCTCATCCACCTCTGTCATGGGCAGGAGCATGGCTACACCAGTACTTAGAAAATTGATATAGGTCTGTACTAAAGTTACTGAATTGCAGGTACTCAATGCTCCTTGCAGCTTCTTCCCATCCCACACCTAGATTTTTTCCCCAGACCCTCTCCTCCCCTCCACCACCCAGCATCTAGCCAGAGACACTGAGATCGCCACCATAAATCTCTTTTCCATTCTTATTGGCTAGTACCTATGTCTGGTTACTGAAAGTCTGACTGTTGCCCTGTGATACAAAACAGGGCCAAAGAGGTTACTCACAGGAAGTGAACAGCACCAGCAAGACCTGGATTCCTCCCAACCCCATCATGGCCCAGGGAAGAAGCTAACCAGGTGAAGGAAACCTGTGCCCCTGAGTCTATCTCTTCCAGCTAACACTGCATAGGTACACACAGTGCTTGTGTGGTTACCAGCTCCTCCTCACACATGGTATTGGCAGGTGTGGAAATCGTTTATCTCAAAGATGACCAGGCCTCCACGTTTATCCTTACACCCCGCCAGCCACCACACACCTCTGGATTCCCTGGGAAATGAGGAGCTGAAACAAGAAGGATGTCTAATATGCCCTCCCAGCTCCTCGGACAAGACCACACATTTAACAGACTAGCCTAACCAACGCTGGAGCCACTGTTGCTTCCCTTGCTTATACCTTGAAAGGAAAAGACTCCAGTCTTCTCTTGTTGAGCGAATATACACAGTCCCAGCAACTTCTGATGTGACTATGAAGGACAGTTGCTTAGGGCGTGTGTTTGGGAGGAAGGACTAAACAGGTTAACACCGGAGATGCTTTCAGCAGCTCGGTGTCATTGGGAATAAATCACACAAGGACATTTTGCTTA